GAATTACATTAAGATGTTTCTTAAATTTATATATATTGGTAACAAAACTAAAGGATTTTGTTAGACTGTCATCTTTCACACATTTATACATGCTGAGGAGAACAGTTTCAGTCAGATGTTTACATTCAGTAGTTTTGGTTCGAGCCGCTCAAAGCTTTATTTCCCGCTGAGCGTAAATCTTTGCAAACAATGGTCTCTGTTATGTTTAAGCTCAGTTGAGAATCAGCTGTAATGTTAGTGATTCTTTTGTTTTGTTCCAGACAACTTGTTGTCGGAAGCTAATGTTAGCGCTGAACGTCAATTGGATTTAACCTACGGCAAGCCAGGAGAGACACACAACATGGAAACGCACAGCTTCAAATATGATCTCATGAGTTATAAATTGATTTTCCCAAATTCGATCGAAAAATCGATCCAGATCGATTAAATGGATTTTTTTTAAACCCAGCCCTACTTCTGATGCTCACGGTTCTTGAATATTGAAAATCCAACTTTATCTGTTTATCTGAGGCTTATTTTTCAGACTGTGTTTGTGTCTGCCTTTCATTAACTTGGCAGTCAGGGAGTGAGAGACACAGGTGTGTTGTTACTATAATGACCATAATGAACCACTGGCAGCAGCCTGAACAATGTCGGCTTTTTTTTTTAGCTTAAATTTTTATGAAGTCATGCAGGAATGTTGGGCGGCAGCTGTTCATCAGAAATTGTCCAGTTTTTATTAAAGTCACAATGTAACAATTCAACACAACAACTGACTCACTCATTATGGAGCAGGCTCAACTACAACAAAGCAAAGATCCATGTCCTGTCCACAGTAAAGCTCCTGGACCCCTGGCGTGTGCTCACCTTGCTGCGCAGCTCATCCTCCATAGAAAAATAAACGAAGCGAATACAAGCGGTCACCAGGGCATCAATGAGACGGACTGTGTCCAGCCTGGCCTGGAACTGAGACGACACCATGCCCATGAAGATCTGTCCGCTCAGAGCCTGCACGCAGTCCTCCCGCTCCACGCCCTCGCCGATCCCCTCTGCAGGTGGGACAGGGAAAGACCAGGATGAGCTACAACACAGCAGCTTACCTACTTCAAGGTGACCTCCCAAACATGTATCCGTCACCGTCTGAGCTCCAGCTGTTCCTGCACACAGTGTGCTTGATGGGGGTGGTGGAGGGCAGCTCAACTCCAGAGAAGAGGGAGGGGCTGGGGGCCAGCTGCACACACTTTCCATCCAGCTGGCTGGACAACGACACCTGCATGGGTTTGTATGAGAAGGCGGAGCAGTAACCTGACAGACAGGCGCGCTGGTAGAAGTCCAGAACTTTCTTCCTGTAAAACAAGCAGACGGACAAATAAAACATTTAATATGCAAAGACTAAATACTCGTGTATGAAATGATTTAAACTTAAACAGAGTTTAAAGGGATTCCTGATTAATTGTAATATTAGAATTTATGTAATAAACATATATTTTAACTGTAAAATAAAGTCTGTAAAAATACTGTAGGATGTTCAGTTTTTATCCTTTTTAAAATATAAATTTAAAATATATTACACAGACGGGGCCATTTTATTTGCACGCAAAGCATTCTGGGTAAATGATGACGTGGGTAGGTCATTGGTGCGAGGCTGCTAGCGAGCTATATCCACCCTGAAGTTTAATCTTGGACAATATCTGACGACTGACTCTTTTAAATGAAACCAGAGGTTGACAGAGAGGAGAAGGTAGAAATGGCTCAGGCTGCAACTGAAAATATGGATGGAGGACAACAGAGCTGCTTCATGGAAGAACCTCAGCTTAGCATGTTAGCTTGAGCGTTAGCCCCGACGCTATCACCATATACTGTTTATGTATTAGCTCAGCGCTACACATTCTCCTCTCGTCACTGAGGTCCTCCATCCACATGACAGAGAGGGGAACACAAAAATGACTCAGCCTGCAACTGAAAATATGGATGGAGGACCTCAGTTTAGCTTGTTTGTCATGCTAGCACCGAGCTAATACATATAAGGCTATATAGCGCTGGCGCTAGCACGAAGGCTAACAGGCTAAGCTGAGGTTCTTCTTCCATGAAGCAGCTCTGTTGTCCTCCATCCATATTTTCAGTTACAGGCTGAGTCATTTCTACCTTCTCCTCTCTGTCAATGCTCTCTGGTTTCATTTAAAAGAATCGATCATCAGATATTGTCCAAGATTAACCTTCAGGGTGGATATAGCTCGCTAGCAGCCTCGCACCGATGACCTATCCATAGAATGCTTTGTGCGTAAATAAAATGGCTCTGTCCGTGTTAAAATATATTTTTAAACTTTTAGTTTAAAAAAATGATAAAAACTAAACAGCCTACAGTATTTTTACAGTCTTTATTTTACAGTTAAAATATATATTTATTAAATAACGTCTAATGTTACAACTAATCAGGGATCCCTTTAAAATGTATATGAGAGGAAGCAGACCTGTCTGAGCCTGACAGAGAGTAGATATCAGTTCCATCCCAGAAGTCAGAGCAGGCCTCCAGGATGAGTTCAGCTGAACCATGTGACAGCATCTGGACATTATCTGTGACAGAGTTACAAAAAAAACATGTACAGTTTTATTTAACTCTTTTCTTAAATTGAAACACTAAAACATGTTGAGTGTCTGAAAAAGGGGCGGAGCACTTACTGGAGGAGGAGTCTCGTACACACAGGGAGAGGAGGTGGGAGATGGGGGGCTGGCGTTTGGTGAAGTAGTGAAGGTGTCGTGAGGTTAGCTCTTTGGTCTTCTCTCCAGACGGCAGCTGGTACAGAGCCAAGTAGGTCTCCTGTTTAAACAGCTCCCTCGCACCAGGAGTGAAGCCTTAAACACACATTTTAACAAAGTGTTTGTTAACAAAACGACATATTCTGCTTTTAAATCCCTCTTTTTCACATTTAAATCATTCAGTCAGGGTCTTCATAAAGTGGAACTACAATGCTTTGGTTTGAATTCCTCCTTATTCTCACTTCAGCAGCCCATCTTCTAGCATTTTTCTGATGCTGGATGTGATACTTTGCCTTTAAGGCACAACAAGCCCCGCCCCCCTCCGGCTTCCAGACCAATCCACTCCGGTTTGAGAGTTTTCTAGCCATTCAGAGATGTTTTATTTATAATTAAAAAGATATCAAAAACAGAAGACTTGTTCATCCAGCATTACATGTTGGAGCCAGAGTCTGAGCCAGAACCAGAGTCTGAGCCAGAACCAGAGTCTGACCCAGAACCAGAGGAGAATTAAGACGAGGAAACTGTCTGGTAAGTCCAGACCTTATTTGGCAGTTCCACCGCAGATAATTTGATGTAATAGTTAAAAAACGTCACAGAAAATAAAGAAAACTGAACGAGCTAAAAAAAAATCTGACCCCAACAGAATATAAAAGATTTCTCTGCAGCACCTGGAGACTAAATTCAACTTTTCTGCCTCCTAGAGACTCCAAGTCCACAACAAAACGTATTTAACAGCTATAAAAGTGGATTTTCAGGATGTCCCCTTTAAGAGAGTGTGTGCAGGTGTCCAGAACCAGCTGGAGTGCTCCTCACACAGTTTGGACACGTCTGCATTTACTAACTAATGTTGAGAGAAAAGTTGTTGAACAAATTTTTACATGTTAACACTGGAGCAACAAAGATATGTGTCTCTGTGATTCACACAGAAAGCTAGGAAAGCCACTGACAGCTTTAACATTTTCTGATGAATGCTGTGCTGTCAACCAGTTACAGTCCAGTCACATGCTGCTTCAGCTAACATTAAAGAAAACAAAATGTAAATAAGAACTACTTTCTCCTGGGATGAAAGAGTAAATCTAAAAACTGAGGGAGGTGTGGTTCAGACTTCTTCAGGCCATGAGGCAAACATGCAGCTTTATTTTACCGATGAGCCTGGAGAGCTCACAGAGTCCCCAGGGCACGTAGACGGGCAGCACGGAGCCTTGGCTCTCCTGCAGAGCCATGTTAGAAAGGTGGTCAGAGAAGTGGCAGAGCTGCTGGGTGATGCTGGCGTTGCACAGGTTCAGCATGATGTTCAGGCCCAGAGGCTTCAGGGAGGGCAGGTGGCCCTGCCAGGACAGGTCGTCAAACTGGATGCTGGCAGGGTTCTGCTGGTCCTGGGACAGACTCAGCATTTCCAAGTGGTAATCACACACAAAGTCGTCAGCCTCTGCTTCTGGACAGCCCAAAGCAAAATCCTGGAGACAGAAGACAAGCGTCCAACACAACTCAAACAGGGAGGAACACCAGCTTCAGGCACACTTTCACTGCATTCATTACAGTTTGTGATAAATACTGGTGACTCACAGCCATGTTTGTACAAACAGGTTCATTCCTCTTCCTTGTAACGTTGCAGCTCTGCAGACTTTATTTGTTACAATCAAGTAAATTTTCTCTGTATTTTCTGAATGCCTGCATGTTCTTTAACTTCTACCATTCTGCCCTGATTTATTATTCTACTATCATGCAGAGTGCCACTAGAGGGAAGCACAAAACTAGATGCACCTTAGCTCATTGTTGACTGCTAATGACTAACATCATTTAAAATTCTGATAAAGTCATGTGTTTGTTTTTCTTAATAAGATTACCTTCAATACTGAGCATAATTATGTAGGATCAAATCTGACATAATTAGAAATAAAAGCAGAAATATATAAATGGACCAATAAAAAAAAGAAAAACACTTAAAATGCAGCAATTAAATTAAAAAAGGAGAACTTTATCTCATGTTTTATAATTTAAATGACCATATTTATTTTCAATCCTCCAATAAATTATATATTTTACCACATAATTTACATTTTACTAACTTTAATACATATTTACTGTTTGTTTTTCTTTTACTTGTAAATACATTTGTGTCTCTTAAATGATTATATTTAATTTTTTTTATATTTCCCACAAGTCTTTTTATTTTCATGTGTTGTTTTTACATTTCTGTCTTCTGTTTTTACTTTATGCATTTCTGCTTCATTATGTAAATAAGGTGGGCAGGCCTTCTTGGGTCAGCTCCTCTCTTATTGGTCAACAGTATTTTTAAAAGCAGTAAAATGTAAATTATGTGGTAAAATATATAATTTATTGGAGCTAGGCTGGAAAAATAAATATAATGGTCAGTTAAACTATAAAACATGAGGTAAAGTTCTCCTTTTAAAATTTAATTTGTGCATTTTAGGTGTATATATTTATTTATTTGGTCAATTGATGTTTTTCTGTTTTTATTTCTAGTTATGACAGTTTCAGTCCTCCATACATAACTGTCTTAGCATCAATAAATATACCTTATTTGATACATATATTCTGTGTATTAATAATAATTTTAATAAAAATATAATGTAGAAAAATTCACATTGCTTGGGAATGATTATGTAATAAAACCGGCTGCACCTCAGATCATTTACTAAATCCTGATCTAAAGTTTGGTGTGGTAGTAGCTGAGACTGATCTCATCTTTGTTTAGAATGTTTACATTTGAATAGTTAATACTTGATTAAAGTCTGTTTGTTGTTCCAGCACATTCAGACAGTAGAAAGAGTTTGGTTGAGCTGAAGCCCACCTGTGCCTGGTTGTCCTCGCCCCCCTCGGTGTCGTGGCTGAAGCTGACGTTTGATCCGGAGTGGTGTTTGGTGCGAGAATGTGAGGGTTGACGAAATCTGAGCGTTTCAGACGAGCGAGCCGTGTCATGTGATGTCTCGCTGGGCTCGGGGGGCTCTGCAGGTTGGATAGGGGGCTCTTCTGGCAGACAGAGCAGGGCTTCTGCCTCCTGGGCCTGGACCTGAGCAGCGGTCACCACATTTACTAAACTGAGAAGCTCATCTGAGTTTTAACGACAGAGAGACATACCTCGTCTCTGTCCATCTCCGCTTCCATCCGGCAGTAGGAGTTGACAGACAGGTCGTCTCTGAGGTCGTCCTGGCTGCTGTGAGGAGGCTCCACCCGTCCGCTGAAGAACAGGACCGTCTCAGGACTGGGATTAGGCCAGGACAGGATCCCCTGCTTGTCCACGCAGCACAGCACCTACACACAAAAACAAATGTAATGTGAACACAATGTTTCTCACAGGTTATCAATTAAAATGACAGCACTTTGTTAGGGCTGATTATTCACCAAATAATTATAATAATGATCAGGATTTAAAAACACTGCATTTATGAACTCTTCTTCACACCTTCCTGTTGAAATTTAACTTAAACTGAAAGTTTTTAATAAAATGTAGGCTGCTGTGCGTTCACACCAAACGCGATTTCAGCGTCAGGAGCAGCAGGTTTACATGCAAAGTCTATGGTGGAGGCGCTTCAAGCAACGTCGGGAAGTTCTGCGGCGCCTCAAGCGCGATTAGAGCAGCGCGATTTGGACGATTTGGACGATCTGAGCGTCGAACGCTCAGATCGTCCAAATCGTC